AGTAATCTAATAACAATAACAAAAATTTATTATTTATTTAGAATATTTTATGGGTTTAATTATCATTTTTTAACCTTCTTTCTAACATCATCTCTATTGACTTCATTTAATGGTGGAAATGTTGGCATAAGGTCTTCGCTTAAAGGTAATGGCTATTCTGAAAACCAAGGGTGTTTTAAGGCATCTGATGCTTCTATTCTTTTTTCAGGATCTAATGTCAACATTTTTTTAAGTAAATCATAACCCCATTCTGAGAGTTAAAATTCCTTTGAAATAATGTCTTATAATTTAATTCCTGGGTATTTAGGGATGGTTCTCAAAGGACCAGCTAATGTTATATTCTTAATAATTATTAGTAATACTTTTAAACCAGGCCAAGTTTCTTCTGTTGGTGTTCCTAAGATTCTGAAAATATGTTCTAATTGTTCCATTTCTTTTTAACCTTTGAACAATTAATCTTTGAGAAGTAATTCTCCAAAAATACAACCAGCAGACCAAATGTCAATTTTATGATTGTATTTTGGAATACTGAGTAGTAATTCTGGTGCTCTATACCATAATGTTACTACTTTGAGAGTGTATGGTTTATTTCTTTGACATCGTCTACCTAATCCGAAATCACATACTTTTAGTTATCCTTTATTGTTATACAACAAATTGGAGGTTTTTAAATCTCTGTGCATAACAGATTTTTAATGGAAGTGTTATATTCCAAGAAGCAACTATCTAAGTAGACATTTGATTTCGGCGGTAGAGAATTGATACTTAGATCTTTCAATTAAATCTTTTAATTCATGTTCCATGTATTCCATGACCATGAATACTTTATCAGATCCCATAACAATTCTTTTGACTTTAACAATATTTGGATGATTAAGTGAGAGTAACAAATTGAATTCTCTTATTGATGTTATTGGAAATCCTTCCTTATCAATATGTTGACTAAATTTAATCTTTTTAATAGCAACAATTTCTCCTGTAAGCATATCTCTTGCTCTAAATACTTCACCATAACTAGTTTTAAATAATTTTATTTTAATTACACTCCTTCATGAATACGATTGAGTTTTTGATATCCCTCAATTGTATCACAACCTTCCACTAAGCCACAGATTTTTCTTTTCTTTAACAAACGCATTTTATCTTATGCAGTCATACTATCAAAATACTTTTCAACTTGTTCTCTTTTACTTTAATCATTTTATTAATTATTTTATTATTCATTATCACTACTATTGATTTCCATTTGTAATATCTTTTCAATCTCATCAACATCATTAGTATTAGTATTATTATTATTATTATTACCATTATTGCTCATTGATTATTAATCCTATATTATAAATATTTATAATTAAATATTTCATAAATCACTCATCAATTCAATAATACTTAAATAATCATAACAGTATCAATAAAGATTCATAAAATTTAGAATCAATCTAATATCAATATTTATTAGATTATTTTACTCTATTAATTCTAATAAATTGATCTTTCTATCATAATATAAATTATTAATATAAATACTTACTTATTTCAAATAGAATTTCCTCTCCATCTTTGTTGCTATGAATTCTATATAAATAAGAATCATAAATGATTTAAAAAAAAAGACTAAATCCATAAAAAAATGAGATCTAATCTCTGAAAATAAAATATAGAGAATGATTCCAGTTGATCATATTATTTTCAATAAATCATTTTGAAATAACTTATTGTATTTTTAAGATTATTATAAATTACTATTAAAGTTATTATTAATCAAATTTCTTAATAAATCTCTCAATTTGATACAAATACATATTCTTTTTGATTAATATTTCTATTTTTATCATTAATAATAAATATTCAAGATGATTGCATAATAACACATAAATATTATAGAATACTTTTACTTAATTCTACTATTTTATCATCTAAATTTATTATTTTTATAAATGGAAAAAGAACTAAAAGATATCAGAGCTTATCATCTCAAAGTAATTGAAGAAAAACTCATTGAACTCATTACTCATAAAAATAGAATTCTTGCAGTTTAAAGTGAGGAGATAGGAGAATTCAAAAAAAGTTTTAATGAATTCAAACCACTTACTTAAGTAATTCAAAAAACTACCCGCGAATGCTTATAAGAATTTTAATCTAAATTAGATGAAGCTGATAGATAAGCAATCTAGTAGTTTCATCAGTAATAGGATCAATTAGAATACCATGCTAATCGATTAAACTAACAATAGAATCAAATGTAATTGATCTAAGAATTATTTGAATAACAAACAAAATAAAGATTATAAATAACTGAAATGTAAAAGGTCAAAGAGAGAATGCTTAATGAATTATAATAAACAAAAGAAGAACTTGAATAAAAGAAATTCTTGAAGTAACAACTTATGAATAATTTTAAATTGAGTTAATAACAATAAATTTAATTACAATAAGAACTCAAAGACACTGAACATTAAAAGAGATATTGGAACAATCTATTATAAGAAGCAAAAGGAAATATTCGTGTTTATTGTCGTATTAGACCAAATTCATAGGAGGATATGTTATTATTAAATGGAGAATGTACATTAGTACTTCGAGTTCCTGAAAGGTTTTTAAAGTCAACTAATTGTTAAAAGGAGAGTAGTTTTAATTTTGAACACATCTTTAATTAAGAAGCAGATTAATAAGAAATTTATAATGAACTTTCAGATTTAGTTCAAAATGTAGTTGATGGACATAATGTGTGTATATTTGCTTACGGATAAACTGGTTCTGGCAAAACCTATACTATGCAAGGTGATGATTATAATAAAGGTGTAATACCAAGGGCAGTAGAGTAAATTTTTTAGGAGAGATAAGGAATGTTAGAATTAGGTTGGTAAACTACGATTAGAGTTGGATTTCAAGAAATTTATAATGAATAAAGTAGAGATTTAATAACAAATTAAAAATGTGATGATGTCAAATTATTGGATGTAAAAGATATTGTTGAAGTTGCAGAACATTTTAATACTGCTAAAAAGAATAGATAGGTTGCAGAAACTCTCAGTAATGAAGTATCATCTAGAAGTCATTTTATATTTTAATTAAATTTATAAGGACATCTTGGTGATAAGCAAATAAATTCAACTTTAAATTTGATAGATTTAGCTGGTTCTGAAAGAGCAAATGTAGCAAAAACTGAAGGGGATAGATTTACTGAAACAAAAGCAATTAATAAATCATTAAGTGCATTGGGTGATGTTTTTAATGCTCTTTATACTAAATAATAACATGTTCCATTTAGAAATAGTAAGTTGACTTTTTCTTTGTATAAATATATGGAAGGAAGTTCTAAGACATTAATGATGGTGAACATTTCATCAAGATCAGAAGATTTTTAATAGACCCTTGCTAGTCTAAGATTTGCAGAAAAAGTAAAATCTTGTTAAATGAAGAAATGAATTATAATTAATATATTAAAACTATTATTTTATATTAATGATATAAATTATAGAGTAAATAATTAGATGTGTTTTTGAGGTATTGTTGAACAAATGCACTGTTCTTTTTATTGATATGATCAAGGAATTCATAAATACTCTTGTTGAATTTATATCAATATACTAATATCTGAATGATTCAACAAAGTATATTATAGAATTGTGAGAAATTTAGATTAATTAAGCAAAGTTATTAAATTTAGCAATTGAACTATTAGACAGATAATTAATTTCCTCTTAAATCAAATAGTGAATATCAATTGATTCTTTATAATTTCAACAAATTTTACTATTTTCTATTTTTTTTTTATTTACATAAGAGATTTAATTCATAATACTAATAATATGATAAATTTGATTTGATTATTAATAGCTAAAAATTAAATAATAATATAAATGATTTATAATCATAATAATTTATATTAAAAAAAGTTCTGAATCAAATTTAAAAACTTAATTTAATGATATCAAGTTAAAAAGTTAACTTGAATTAAAAGATTGAATATATATATGAAAATCAATTTATCTTTAATTTAAAAATTCAAAACAAGTAGAAATTTTACTTAAAAATCTATATCATTATAATATATTTATATATTTATTTTGATTATCTAGATCTATTTAATATATTATTTGTAGGAGAATGGTTAATTAAATGGTTAATATTATTTCTTTAATAGATATGAATTATTAAAAAATAAGAGAAGATGCCATAATTATTATTCATAGTGTTACTATAATATAATGATAAATTATTGTAATGTCTAATAAATAATATCAAATTATATAAATTAATGCTAGATTAATGTTAGTATTTTACATCTGATTACTCATATCAATTCTTATGTCATAGAATAGAGAAGCGAATATATCCTGCACATTACAAAGTCAAGAATAGATTAATAAATTCATTCTTAGGAAAGATTCAGATAAAACCTATGCCTTTTGAAATTGTCTCTATTACAAACATGACTAATGTTAGCAAACATATAGCTGAAAGTGAGATAATCTATGAAAATGCTAAGACTATAGATGATTAAGAAAAGACTTAAGTTCCTCCAAATGAATTGTGGGAAAAAGCTAAGCAATGTTGTAATCTCTTAGAAAACTCGAAAGTAGAGGCTTAGGATTTAATTCGTGTGTCTCACCTATATGATTAAATTTTAGATATATTACAACCCCCAAAACCTAGAAATGTGTATTTTATCTCACCTCACAACTCTGATACAGAGATCAAACAAAAGAAACTGGTATACAATCCAGAGGCACTTAACAATCTTATCAAGAGACTTAGATCTGGTAGAGTACAATCATAAACCAGATCTTTGTTTCGATCTACATAGAGAATGCAAACATCATCAATAGGTAAATAGATTTAAAAAACTGAATTGAATGAATAATTGAGTGCTCAAGCACTTAATTTTCTAAAATAATTAAAGAAGAAGTAATTGAATAAATGAATATAAGTGTTTATGAATATATCAATTTCTCATTATTGAATTAAATGATTATCTAATTCAATAATATATTTCATTATTATTAATCTTAATCAATAGGTTCATCTGCCTCTTCTCCTGGGATTAATGGAACATCACCTACTATATTGATATTATTATGTGAACACTAAAAATACTTTGATAATGTACACTGAACATAGATCCTTTTTAATTTGATATACTCATTTTTGATTGAGTTCCTCTATACACAAGAGAAGGACATTTTTCTTTGACAATAGAATCACCTTTTTCTAATGGATGTACTAATGAACCTTTATCCTATTCTATATCTAAGGCATAATATTCATTATCAATTTTTAAAAACAAACTACATAAAAATCCAATAATCATCATTATTGTAGAGAAAATGTTTGTATACAACACTCTTTTATCATCCTTATTCTTTCCAGTAATGAATGTTAAAATATAAGTGAAAGCCACAAAAAATAACATACTTCCCATATAAAAGGCACCAACTGCAAATGATGGTTCAATTGGAGAAATTAAATCACATCCCATATCCATAATCACAGGTAATATAGGCATTACACATATTGCCAATAGAGTTATTACTATATATATGTAAATCACATTATTTGATTTTAATGCAAAATATAATGATGCCATAGCTAAAGTTGAAAACAATAGAAAAAAACGAACAAAAGCTTTCTATATTTGATATTTATTTACAAAATATGGAAATGCTCCTTAAGCTATTAATCCACCAATTAAAGGAAATGAAACTTTTTTAAATAATTATTCTATATACCAACACCTGCTACTTAATCAGTCTCATATTTATATGGTGACATCAATAATTCCATAATTACTAAATAAGCCTTTAATATTCCAAAATATAGACTAAATGGAATGAAAAGTAAAACAAAGTTTCTATTCTTAAATAATCTCAGCATTATTTTTAACATTCCACTTTTTCTTTCTATTTTGTTTATTTTTACTGGAACTTATTTTGGTCTACTTCTCAACATAAATAAACATGGTATTATTGCCAAACTTATGTAAAATTCAAGTAAACATAATCTTTACATTCTACTTCTTCCATTCTCATAATCTGTATCATCTTCTAAATTATAACTCTTAAACATAATTCCTGGTAATTAAGCAGATACGACCAATGATAATGTATTTACTACATTAAGTAAAGTTATGATCATGATTCTAGTCTTAGGATGAAACCAACTCATAGCCATAGATGCCTAAGAATTTAAAATAAAAGGTCTTCCTATTCCACATAGAACCTAACCAATTATTAAAACAATAAATCTAGATATAACTTCTATATTCTATACCCTGCTTAATTAATCAAAAGTTTAATACCACAACCTAAAATTGTAAGAATTACACCTAAATTAGTTGCAGATGCCCATCCATAATTTGAAATAGCTAACTAAATCAATCTTGTATACTTTATGCAGCTACAAATGACAAAATTGGATGCATAACCATAAATACTGTTGAAGCAGTAGCAACTAAAGCCAATGATACATTATATATATGAGCCATAAATGAACTTATAGGTACACAAATTTCATAAGGTACACCGTTTACCAAAACAACTGAATAGTACAAAAATAAAATTGCCCATCTATAAACTGATAAATCTATATCTTTTATTGATTATGTATGAGATTTCACTATAGAATTATCAGATATTGAATTAGTCTTCTCTTACTCAACTTCTGATTAATGATTAATCATTTTTAATAATCAGATATTTTTTTCTCAAATTACCTCATCTACTAATTGTTATTAGTGATTAACACATATTACGTAATATATTCAAATAATTAATATTCATCTTAGAATTTAATAACCTATCACTTAATTATGATATATAATATCTAATGATTTATTCAGAATTCAGAATATTCCAAATCTGACCAAACCATAACTAATTGCTATACATTTTTTTACTATGTATAATATTGAATGGCAAATCAAATTTATAAAACCTAAATTTCTAATTATTTTCATTATTCAACAGCAAAATGAAAATAATTATTTATTTTCTTGTTATTTAAATTGATTTAACAAAATAATTATAAATGGATAAATTATGATAATCTTAAACATAACAATTATTTGATGTTTGATATCTTGTATTTCTAATTAAACATACATCTTTTAAAGAAAAGATCTATTATTTTATTTATGTCTATGTTTCAATTACTAAAATTTAAAATACTGAGCTTGAATCAAATACTCAATGATGTTATTTTGTATTAATAAGTTTTGATTATTAATGATAAAATAATTGTACTATTTTTCATAATAAATTACATCATAATAGTTATAATCTTATTTAAATTTATTTTCTACCATTTTCAATTATGGGAATAAATTTGATTTTAATTTTTTCTTATAATGAAACTAGTTATATAAAATTAATCTCATTCAATCAATGAATTAATTATCATGAATTTAGGTTTTGTTATTAACATAGCAATATAAATAAAGAATCAGAAATAATTTATTCTAATAAAATTGGAAAATATTTGATATGCTTACTATTGATTTTATACTTATTTAGATAATTATTCATATCCTTTTTCATTTTTCTATTTATGTATTGATTTGACTTTATAACAACCTAATTTTGTAAGTTAAGAAGACAAATCACATTTTTCTCCTTATTTTAAGAATTTTTGTTTTAATTAATTTTCTATAATAAATGTTCTACTTTAAAAGCCTTCCTTAGATTTAGTTGTAATAGAGATTACTTAAATATTATCACTTATCTCATATTTCAAATGAAATAAATAATTAAACTTTCTTATTACTTAATACTATATATAATCAATATAATATACAATTTTATAAAATTTGCTTTTTCCATTGTTAATAAATATTGATAATTGTTAATTTTTAAAATGTGTAGTAGTCTAAAAATTATAATCATTTTATAAAATGAATTACAAAAAAGCCCTTTTCAAATTGTATTAATCTTTTAGATTATAAATTTATTACTTTTTTAAGGTCTATTGAGTAAAATTTTTGGTTAGATATATTAAATTATTTTATAATCTCTTTCCATGATTTGTGTTATATAATTAATTAATTGACTTTGTAATAAAATTCTTTTTTTTATATCTTTACTTATTTTAATACAATTGAAATCACAAAGAAAGAATTTATATTTTAATATTAATTTTTTTTTAAAATTAAATTTAATGCACGAATCTGACGAGATGTTCACAAGATTGATAACAAGATTTGGAGTAAAAGCACTAGAAAAGAAGAAGGAGAAAGATTTTATGAAACACATAGCTGCCAAAGCTGAATAGAAGCCTGCAATAATTGCAGAGACACAAAAGGCAAAGGATGTGCCAGATTTAAGCAAATTAAGTAATATATTGAATTGAAGGGTTTAGGTGGAGCAGAGATATTAGCCTTAAAAAGAGATGCTTCTAAAATGCCTGAATCATATTAGCCTAATTTTGTGGAGAGTTTCTGGTATAAATATTGGGAGGAGAAGAAGTATTTCCATGTTAGTGCAGAGGAGGCATTAAAGAATGATAAGAGATATGTGATGGTATTGCCACCTCCTAAGTAAATGATTAATTAAAGTTGTTAGTGTTACAGGATATTTGCATTTAGGTCATGGATTGACATCAGCAATAGAAGATTCATTGACAAGAATTCATAGATAGAGAGGATATGCAACATGTTATTTACCAGGAACAGATCATGCAGGAATAGCAACATAGACAGTTGTGGAGAAAGCATTAGCAAAGCAATAATTGAATAAATGGGAGATGGGAAGAGAGAAGTTTTTGGAGAAAGTTTGGGAATGGAAAGATAAGTAATAAATAGTATTAATAAATTAATAGACATGGAGCATAGATATTAGAATAATTAAGAAGAGTAGGTAGTTCATTGGATTGGGAGAGATATCATTTTACAATGGATGAGTAATTGAAAACGTAAAATAAATAGTAATATATTATTTTAGAGCAGTGACAGAAGCTTTTGTATTGTTATATGAGAAGGGATTGATATATAGAGCAACAAGATTGGTCAATTGGTCATGTTAATTAAAGACAGCTATTTCAGATATAGAAGTGACTTATGAGGATATAAAGGAGCCAATTAAATTAAAGGTTCCAGGACATGCTTAACCTGTTGAATTTGGTTGGTTGACTCATTTTGCATATAAAGTTAAGGATTCAAATGAAGAATTGGTTGTAGCAACAACTCGTTTGGAAACAATGTTAGGTGATACAGCTGTGGCAGTAAATTCAAAAGATTAAAGATATGCTCATTTGATTGGTAAAGAATTAGTACATCCATTTTGCAATAGAGTGATTAAGGTAATTGCAGATGATTAATTGGTTGATATGTCATTTGGTACAGGTGCTGTTAAAGTGACACCTGCTCATGATCCTAATGATTATGAATGTGGATAAAGATAGAAATTAGAATTTATTTAAATTTTTGATGAAGATGGTAAGATAAATTAAAATGGTGGAAAATATGCTGGTATGATGAGATTTGATTGTCGTCGTTAAATGGAAGAGGATATGAAATAATTAGGTATATATAGAGATAAGACACCAAATTAAATGAGACTTGGATTATGTTCAAGAAGTAAAGATGTTATTGAACCTATGATAAAACCATAATGGTATGTAAATTGTTAACACATAAAATAAAGAATGATTGATGTTGTAAAAAATGGAGAATTGGTTTTGATACCTTCTGAATATGAGAATGAATGGTTTAGATGGATGGATGGTTTAAGAGATTGGTGTATAAGTAGATAAATATGGTGGGGTCATAGATGTCCAGCCTATTTAGTTAGTATAAATGGTAGTTAACCTGATACTAGTAATTAAGATAATTGGATTGTTGCTAGATCTGAAGAAGAAGCTTTAAAGAAAGCAGTTGCTAAATATAATATTCCAGTAGAATAAATTAAATTGTCTTAAGATGAAGATGTATTGGATACTTGGTTTTCTTCTGGATTGTTTCCATTTTCTACTTTTGGATGGCCTGATACTAATCATCCAGATTTCAAGGCTTTTTTCCCTAATACTATACTTGAGACTGGTTGGGATATTTTATTCTTTTGGGTTGCTAAGATGGTTTAATTTTCATTAGAATTCTTTGATAAGGTTCCATTTAAATATGTTTTCTTACATCCATTAATAAGAGATAAGGATGGAAAGAAGATGTCAAAGAGTCTTGGTAATGTGATAGATCCACTTGAAATAATTGATGGAACATCATTAGAGAATTTGAAATAAAAGATATATGAAGGTAATTTATCAAAAGATGAAATTCAAAGAGCTATAAAATAAAAAGAAGAAGAATTTCCAAATGGTATTCCAGAATGTGGTGGAGATGCATTAAGATTTGGTCTCTTAAGTTATTTATAAAAGACTCCAAATATTAATATGGATGTTAAACATATTATTGGTTATAGATAATTTTGTAATAAGATTTGGAATAGTTGTAGATTTGCATTTCCAAAATTACCTAAAGATATAAATTATGTAAAATTAGAATTAAATAATTTATAATTAATAAATTAATGGATATTAGTAAAACTCAATTAAACAATAACAGGAGTAAATGCTGCATTTGATGATTATGAATTTGGTTAAGCAACTTAAAATTTCCATTAATTTTGGTTATATGATTTTTGTGATATTTATTTAGAAGGAATTAAAAATATTTTAAGTGATAAAAATTAAGATTAAAAAATTAAACTTGAAACTTAATAAACCTTATTAACTGTATTAGATTAAGGATTAAGATTATTACATCCAATGATGCCATATTTATCTGAAGAATTATGGTAGAAATTACCATGTTAAAAGGAAGATTCATTAATCATAGCTAAATATCCTTCACCTAATCCATAATGGATCAATTAAGATGTTGAAATCTAATTTGATTTAGTATTGAATATCTCAAAGAAATTAAGATCAGTAATTAGTAAGTCTTAATTACCTGCAAATGTAAGACCTGATGCTTATATATTGAATTTGATTGGAGAAAAATCATTAGATGATTTAATTAAATAATAAGCAGATATCATTTGTTTATTAGCTAGAATAAAATCAGTAATATATTATTATTATTATAATATTTTAGATTACAGTAATTTAATAAGAAACTGAATAACATAAATAATGTGGAGTTGATACTTTAGAAGCAAAACTTAAAATTTTTGTTAATATGAAAGATAATATTGATCTTACAAAAGAAGTAAAATTCTCTTAAATAATATATTTAGAATGAAAGATTAGTAAAGAAATTGAATGAGTTAATTAAATATATTAATGCTCTCTAAGATAAAATGAGTAAATACAATGATAAAGTACCAGATCAAGTCAAAAAAACTGATATGGAGAAAATGGAAAAATATCATTAAGAGAAGTTATTGACAGAATAATAAATTGAGAGTCTTAAAAAATGAGATTATAAGTAAAATT